ATGAAATACACAAGACTGGTTTTATCCTGAAAATCAGCTCTTGCTGTTAAGCACCAACATTGTTCCTCAGAGGCCAGGTATCCTTTTACTGGTGAACCATGTAATATGTCCAAGTGTTTTAAATTGTTTGAGCCCTGGCTACCAATATTTTTTTTTAATTTTAAGTAAAAAAATCTATTTCACAGGGTTGTCCTAAGAATAGAATGAATGTGAAATGCTTCTCCCAGGGCCTGCTACAGAAGTTATTCAGTAGCAATGTGCTTCTCTCTGTACCCCTCGAGCTAAACAGCCAAAGCAGAGCATGAGAACCTGTCCAAATTAGTTTCTTATTGCTGCCATATCAAATTACCACAAACTTGGTGACTTAAAACAATAAGATTTGTTAATTGGACAGTTCTGGAGGTCAGAAGTTTAGATGTGTCTCGCTAGACTATAATCAAGGTATCAGCAAGGCAGTGTTCTTTCTAGAAGCCCTAGGGGAGATCCATGTCCTTCCCTTTTCCAGGTTCTAGAGGTTGCCCACAGTCTTTGGCTTATGGGTCCCTCCAGAAACTGCATCACTCTGACCTCTGCTTTCATTGTCACAGCACCCTCCCTCTCTTTGACTCTCCTGCCCCTCTATTATGAGGGCCCTTGTGATGACATTGGACACATCCAGATAATCCAAGATAATTACCCATCTTCAGATTCCTAACTTTATCACATCTTCAAAATCCCTTTGCTGTGTAAGGTGCCATATTCATAAGTTCCAGTGGTTAGAATGTGAACATTTTGAGGGCTATTATTTTATCTACTGTAGTTGCCATGTCAGCTTTCATAAGCTATAGAGATCTTTGTTTTAATTATGGACGCAAGCCTCACCTAATAACTTCTCCTTAAATTCAGTTCTTTCTCCCATTGTATATTAAAAGTGTCTTTCTCTACAAGTTCCCCTAGTTAAAAATCCGAGTGTCATCCTTGCTCCCTGCTCCTGTACTTTCCAGATCAAATCAGTCTCTAGAACCACCCTTAAAAATGTCCCCTGCTCCTGCTCTCACTGGCTGGGCTGATGTCCTCATCACTCCTGCCTGAATACCCATATCCCCTAACCCTTCAACCTATTGTCCACACCACCATTTAACTCATCTTTCTAAGAACACGTTTGGTTGCATAATGCCCTTCTAAAAGGCTGTCACTCCTCCCACAACCTGCAAAGCTCCCAACCTCACATAAGTCAATAACTTCCCAAGGTTGCATTCTTTCCCTCTCCTCACATCCTGTAATCTCCACCAGCTGTAGTATATGTTTGTACCATATAAGCCACTCAGAATTTCTCACAATCTACCTAAACACACCCTATTCTTGACTTCCTCAGACTTGGAATATCCCTCTCTCATCTCTTGCCTGAAAATTTCACATTCATTTCATTTCAATCCTCACAAACTTGGGAAGAGTGGATGTTATTAATTCTTTGATATAGATGGGCAAACAAGCCAGAGCACTAAGTAACTGGTCCCAAATCAAGTATCTGATCATTGGCAGAGCTGTAATTAGATACAAGGATACCAACTGGTCCATTTTCCAGTTTAATGGGCTGCTATCTTATAAGGGTATGATTACTTGTTTTGGCTCTTATTTTTACTTGAATTTTTCCTCTTTTCCCTTGGTCTCTAAGGAAACAAAAGTGAGATTTTGTAGTGCTGCACTCATCTCTGCCACATATTGAATCTATTCTCTAGTTATCAACCAGAGTTGGGTAGTCTTTTAAATATGAAAACTTGGGGGCCAGCAGATGGTGTGGTGGTTAAGGTGCTAGATTCCCACATGGCTGACCATGGTTCAAGTCTTGGACCCAACAGCTTGAAAATCATGCTGGGTGTGTATGTGTGCATACCTGAATTCCCTAGAGGAGACTGGAAGAGAAGGGACTGAAGTGTGACCATCTCCCTTGGAGGGTGATTTTTCACTTTCCTCTCTCTGTCTCTGTTTGTCTCTATGTCTCTCCATGAATGCAAGCACCTGGCAAAAACCTAACCAAAAAAAAAAAAAAAATGCAAACCCGTGTATGCTATTCTAATATCCCTATTTATACCCTAACCTAAATCCCCTTAATGGCTAATTTGTCATCAATTGCTCTTAACGATGAGATGATCATAGAACTCCTAAAAGTGGTCTATCGGGCTGACTTGCTGTATGTTCCCTGCCTGCTGTCCGGCCTCCCCTCCCACTGCACCTCACCACCCTTCTCCACTCCAGCCCTGTGGGCCCCCTTTTGGCATGGGGACCTGCCATACTCCCTCCCACCACATAGCCTTTGCACATACTTCATTCTGCCTGAATGTTCTTCCTCTTCTTGGTGAAGTTAAATTCTTTATCGTCTTTAAGATTTCAGTTCAACTGTCACTTTTTTAGGAAGCCAAAATCGAAATCCTGGTGATCTAATTCGAAAGGTGAATCTTTTCCCGCAATCCATGTAGCTTCTTCTTTAAATATTCAACATATAATCTGACAGAAGAAATCTAAACATTAAATGTATCAAGAGTACCTGATTGAACAATTTCTTTCCAAACAGAAAAATTGGTTGTCTAGAAGCTCCAAGATCAGCTCCTGACATTTCCTGATGTCATTATGATCGGATAGCCTCTCAATACTACCATTCATTTTCTATGTTCCTTATAGTTCTGCTGTGTCTCATATGGTACCTACCTGGTACTGAATACTTAGTATACTTCTATTGGTTGATGAATTGACTACTAAGTTTCACTTATTTAGTATATCATGTTTGAACATTATGGCGATTTCTTAAGTAACTAAACATGCCACTACCATACAACTTAGTGATTGCACGGCTGGGTATTTTATTCCACAGAAATGAAAACAATGTTATATTTTTAAAAATCGGTATACTTATAGCACTTTTATTCATAATAGCCAAAACCCAGATAGCCTTTAATGCTAAACAAACTGGTACCTTCAGTCCATGAACACAATAAAAAGGAGTCAGCTGTTGATGCACACGGTAATCTGGATGAAGCTCCAGAGAATTATGCTGAGTGAAAAATATCAATCCCTAAAGGTTAAATACTGGATGATTCTATTTACATAACATTCTTGAAATGACAAAGTGACAGAAACAGGGAACAAATTAGTGCTTGCAAGGGTCAAGAAGGGGCTGGAGGCATGAGAGAAGTGATGTAGCTATTAAAGGACAATGGTAAGACTCCTCACCGTAATGAAAATACTCTTCACCCTGACTGTGTTGATATCAACATCCTGGTTGTAATATTGTACTATGGTTTTTCTAAAAGTTACCATTGGAGAAAACTCAGTAAAGGACATGGGGAGTCTGTATTATTTCTTTTTTTTTTTAATATAAAGTTTATTTATTTTTTTTTCCATGAGAGTGAGAAACAGAGAGGGCAGGGGGAGAGAGAAAGAGAAGCACCCTTAACAGGGTCCTCACTCACAGTCCAGCCCTGGTCTCAGCCAGCCTGGATTATGAGCATGCACATACACTCAGCATGCAAAAGGAGACCCTGGGACATGAACTTATGACCTTCATGAAGTGTTGTATCACCACTCTACAGCCACTGCTGGCCAGCTTTTTGTATATCTTCCAACTGCATTTAATTCTACAATCATCTCAATGAAAGTTTGTTTTTTAAAAAATACAATATATTTGGGACCAGCAGATGGCGTAATGGTTATATCATTGGATTCCCATGTAGTCGACCACAGTTTGAATCCTAAACCTGGTGACTTAAAACACACTGGGTTAGTGTGCATGCATGTTAAAAAATCCCAAAAGGAGAATGGAGGAGAAAAGATTATGGTATGGCCATCCCCTGGGGCGGGGGAGGGGGCGGATTTTTTGTTCTCTGTCTCTATCTCTCTATCTCTGCAGTGAGCATACATGCCTTATAGCAATAAAACAAACAAACAAACAAAACACTTTTAATGAAACGAACAGATGGCATAGCAGCTGCTGGACTCCCGTGTGGACGACCACAGTTCAAGTCACAGACTCGGTGGCTTGAAATTCATGCTGGGTATATGTGCAGTTGTGCCCAAGATCCTGGGAAGAGAATGGAGGAGAGGGATTGTGGCATGGTCATCCCTCCTGGGGGGTGATTTCTCACTTTCTCTCTTACTGTCTCTGTCTTTCTCTCTCTCTCTGGCGAGTACACATTCCCTAAGGCAAAAACAGCTGCAAAAAATAAAATAAAATAAAATAAAATACGACACATTTAATAAAGTATATATGATGTACTGAGGTATTCATAAACACATACCTGTGGTTTCCAAAAAATTTTCTTTTCTGGTGGTTTGTTGGTTCTTTCTTATTAAGATTGTATTTCCTTATGTTTAAGATATATATATATATGACATGGATCACCCTCAGGCAGCTTTCAAGATGACTGCCGTTTATTATTTTAGGATCCTCATTCTGTCTGTCCCTCTGCTGCCTTTCATACATTTCCATTGTGACCAAGATATCATTTATAGAACTGTTGGTTTGTACTTCAATTTTCTAGCAGTATCGTATCAACAAAGTATAATGTCTTTACCACTTCACAGGTAAAAGAAAAGTTTTTAAAGTAGCCCTGTGCCATCTGCCACCTCAAGTCTCCTTGTCTAGTTCCTCAGATTCCATGCGCTCAGTATTAATATTATTCTTCAATAGATTGTTGTTGTTGTTTGGAAACCTTTGACTGGCTGTTCGAATGTAATACGGTCCTTTTATCTCCCCATGATTTTCTACCAAGCTTAGTATTCTGTTGATATCTCCTTGACTGGATTTCCACTCCTTGTCTCTTATCTTTGCCTAGTGCAATGTAGATTTTGAATTCTTTTTTTCCCAGGTGTTGGAGTGGTTGTTAATGTCCATATTGAGAGACAAATCCTCACTTAGAGAGTCCATTACTGCTATAGAAGTTTTGACTGGGAACAGAAAGAATGAGTACTGCATTTTATTCATTTCCAAGCTTTAATGCAAAATTTCTTTTTGTTTTCTCTTTTAGTGACTACTGAAAAAATCCAGGAACATATCACCTACCAGGTATTTCCATGCTTCTCATAAACTATAATTTTGTTTTAAATGAGAATAGATAAGCATTTGTAAATGTTAAAAAAAAAAAAGAGGGCAATACTGGTCAAATATGAGAACAGGTAAATTGGTCATAGGTAGATAATCATGCACTTTCTTGGTCTCCTTCCAACCTCATTCTCTCCCTCTACACCATCCCACCTGGAAATGCAAAGTAGTAGACAAGTTAGACTCTGCTAGTTCTAACTCATAAGCATCCCTCCAACCATACCACGATCCCTGCACTGATATTATCAAGGCAGCAAATGGATACTTTTGACTGCTTTTGCCTTAACTAAGGCAACTCTCATCTGTGATTTTCCAAAGTTTTTATTCACTCAGCTGAAAATCCCTCTCCTAAGCAGCCAAGATCTGAACCCTTAGCAATACAAATGTGCCACAAGTTGACGTTCCATTCTGGCTTCTCATGTCTGTTCACAATTAGCCAATGTCTTCCTGACCACTTTACTGCTTTTCAAAGTTATTTATTTTCTTCCACGACTGAGTGAGACAGAGAGAGAGACAAAGAGAAAGAGAAAGACAGCCCTCCAACAGGGCTTGCTTCCATAACCAACCACCAGCTTCAACCAGCCCCAGGTCATGGGCACAAAGGTGCCTGGCATGTCCAGGGAGGTTTCCAGACATGAACCTAGAACCCACCCCTGTGGGTCAATCCTGTAGAGTGAAACATTTTATTTCTATGTCTTCGTCTAGCCCCTGTTTAGCTATTTTCTTATCCAGTTTTTTTAATTGATCTAATTTTTGTATTTTTAGGTAAATGGCATCCTTCTGTGTAACTATTTAAGGGGCTTGAGACATGTAGTCACACATATCAACCAAAGGAGACCTCAACCAAAAACACATCATGTCCTAACACACCTACTCTCCATTAGCTACAGTTTCTCTGAATGTTGCTTGTTCACTAGACTCAGAGAATATGTACGTTGACCTGGGGCAAAATATGCTCAGATTTCACTCACAGATACAAATCCTCATGCCTTTTTTTTATGCTCTTCTGGCATAAATTATACCTCACCCTTGCCAAAGAGAAGAGTGGTAAATCTACATTTATTGCAATCAGAGGTAAATTTTTCAAGTCTTCTACATGCACACCAAAATAAATTTCAATTCAAGTCCCATTATCAGTCAAAACAAATGAAGTTCTAGCTTTACCTAATCTGTGCCAGATGCCCTATAATTTATCAAGCTATAAACATAGTTAACTCATTTGGCTAATATACTGTACTGAAAATTAAGCAGGCAAAATTTAATACTTATCAGATGTCACTTTGCTTTTGAATATAATTGTTAATGTTGACTTGCAGTAGCAGTTGTCTTAATCCTTGGAAATGCTGTTATTGTGTAATAGCAAGTTGGGCATTTCAGTTTATTTGCCCTTCAGCTTAGTTTGTCATTGTATTTTCAACTATGAATAGGCATTCAAGCCTTTTTATAAAACACCAGATAGAATATGTAGGCACCAAAATAAGATAACAAATATTTACTCATAATTTTAAACATTGATATGATGCCAGTTAAAATTATAATGGTTTTTAATCCTGTAAGAGAGTGAAATTCTTTGGCCTTTAACAGAAGGAAGAGTCTTAATATTTTCATTACACAGTTTTTCTTAAAAAAGATAGTTACATTGTCCAGTCATTGTCGATCAGCTTATATTTCTAATCCTACAGTGGAATTTTCATTTATTCTTTTCCCAAACAAGGAAGTGCTCCCAACTCTCAGGAAAACAATGCCGTACAATTCAAAGAGGCACCCTCCACCTCTAATTTATCTCAATTCCAGCAAAGAGTCAAGAAATGAAGTCATCCCCTTTTCCAAAGCACCCTGCCACCAAAAGAATATGGTTCTTGAAAAACAGTTTTGAAAACTCACTGTGGATAATCAATACCATGTTCTTTATCAGGAAAGAATGTAAATGGAATACCATTGAGCATTCATCTTGCCCCTAAATTCTTCCCAGTAGGCACTATAGATTGTGTAATTAAATTGAAATTGAAAATCGAGTCCTTTTTTTTCCCCATTAGACAGGCTATGCGTTGTGCACCAACATGAGAAATCAGGGCTGGAGTTAAAGTGAAGCTCTTGCCTGCTGGCCGATATCCAGCGTGCATTTTTAGCCCACAGCTATTTTACCACACCTGAGCTTTGAGAACAAACAGCTATTTGAGTCCTCTGGAGGGAACTCTGGATTCTTTCCTGTGTAATTCACTGGGGAAATTAGTGTGCTTTTTAAAAGTAACTTGTTAACGCAGCTTGTTTCCGAGAAGAGGACAAAAATGAGCAGTGAACTGCTTGGCAGCTTATGTCCCAAAATGGATGAATGCATGACCCATTTTTTTCAGCTGTCTCTTTGGCATTCCCATGCTGCAATAATTTCCTATCAGAAAAATGTTACTTGTAGAGATGAAATCTCCTATCGGTTTTCTGAATAATTTTTACTATGGTAGATTAAAGATAATACCTCAAAATACTACCAAAAAATACTTTCGAAACCAAATTAAAATATGGTCAGCTTAAGAATGAGAAAATGGAATGAAAAACACTTTTAATTTAACTTTTGGAAACTGCCTTACTATATAGTAGACCACTGAAACCTGTAGTAAATCAATACCGTCTGCTGATGCCTTTTTGTACAGGAGATGGCTGAGACCCATGGTGAATTAATACCTTGTGTTCGTGCCACTTGGTGACAAACAGGAACACTGAATATGGGCTCCACTTCTTGTGGAAAGGACGTTTATATTATGGCAAGCACTCACAGCTGAAGGCTGGCTATGAGGAAGGTTGGCTTTCGCCAATTACCCAGTTCGTAGAGCCAACATCTCAGTCTGCCATTGCAGCTTTGTATTGGTTTCCTAGGGATAGCATAATGAGGCAGCACAGACTGGAGAGCGTCAACAGAACTATGCTGTCTCCAGTGCTGGGGCAAGACGTCTAAAATCCAGGTGTTAGTGAGGCCAGGCTCCCTCTGAGACCTGTAGGGGAGGAGCCTTCCTTGCCTCTTCCGAGATCCCAAGGGTTGTCAGAAATCCTTGGCATTTCTTAGTTTAAAGTTGTGTCACTCCAATCTGCTTCTGTCTTCACATGGCTGCCCTCCCTATGTATTCCTCCTTTTCTTTTTTTTTTTTTTAAAGAGGTTTTTGCTATAGGGCAGTGCGCTCACCAGGAAGACAGGGACAGAAAGTAAGAAATCACTCCCCAGGGGGATGGGCATGCCACAATCCCTTCTCCTTTCTCCTCTCAGGATCTTGGGCACACATGCACACACACATGGCGTGTGTTTAAGCCACTGAGTCTGGGACTCAAACCATGGTCGACTACATGGGAGTCCAGCGACATGGCCTTTATGCTAATTGCTAGTCCCACTTTTTTTTATTTATTGATTTTACCAGAGAAAATATGTGCTTTCTGAAAGAGAGCACCCCCCCATAGGAAATAGTCACACTGTAATTCCTTCTCCTTTTGGGATTTTGGACATGCACAAATATGTACTGGCGTTTTCTCAAGCAATCAGACCCACCACATCTTTTATCTTCTTCTCTTCTTCCCCAGTATTTTCAAAAATTCCAGTCATCTGACAATTATCCTTTCCTAAAAAACAAAAAAACAAATAGAAAAACCCTCCCCGTTTTTAGCAGGTGATTAACCCTGCCTGTGCATTATAATCACTCCTAGAGTTTGTTAATGCAGATCCCAAGATCCTAAATTCAGCCTCAACCCCAAGAAATTCTGGATCTGTTGTTCTAGACTTGGGTTCACGTAGTACAGTTTTCATAGGTCGTGCATTTTAGAAGGCTCTAAAATATCACAAACACAAAATGCAGAGACATTTTTCAGCCTCATGTTTTCAAGTTTAATAACCAATTGATGACATAGAAAATGTGGGAGAGAAACAAAGGAGTTGATTTGGGCCATCAGTGAAACTGAGCTATGATCCATGAAACCAGAGAAAGAGAGTTTCTATTGTAGGTAACTACTCCACAACCTCCAAAAGTGAGAGGATGGGCCCAGCCTGATGTAGTCCATAGAGAACTGACCAGCACCGCTGAGAGCTACATGACTGACCACAGGTTCAGGGATCTGGGTTGACCTGAAAACATGTCAGATGCACATGTGTGTGTCTAAGATTCTAATGAGCTGGAGGGCTGGGAAAGGGGATCCTGGCATGATGAAACCCTGTCTCTCTCTCTTTCTGTCTCTCTCTCTCTCTCTCTCTCTCTCTCTCTCTCTTTCTGTCTCATTCATAGTATACATGGGTTCTCAATCATAAAGAAAGAAAAGAAGAAGTGAAATGATGAATAGGCGTGCTGCCTTCCCCAGGTAACAGTACTGCTGTCCTCCTCTCTTCCTAATGGAGAGGGTAGGGAGGCACTGTTTAGAGGCACTGTTTGGAGTTTAGAACCCCCAGGCCATCTGGAATCAGAAAAGCGAGGCATTAATTAGGAAAACCTGCCCTCCCCATTCACCTGAATATCTTCAATGAATCATTCTCCATCTTCAATGGGGGCAGGTGGAGACAAGCCTCAGAGGCCCTAGTCTGAATCTAGATTCCACTCTGCCCTCTCTCTGACGGTCCATGCAACCACTCAGGTGTCTAGTGTCAGCGTGGCCTTCAGAGAAAATGGGGTTCCTTTAACCTTCCACTCCCAAACCATTTTATGAGATAGACTGCAGAGCCTGGGTGGGAACAAGTACCAGGCCTTGGGTATAGCTTTCTTTAAAACTGAAATATTTAGGCATATAATAAGTAAGTCTGCATTCATACTCTTTCTTAGACCCCACAAATGTGGGTGATGATCCTGATCAGACATCACCATTTAAAAACTCAATATGTGACTCTAATGAAAAACCAGGTTTGAAAAATCACTGGTCTGTCATCTACAAGATAAATCCCTAACCTTTGAGTATTAAGTTTAAGGTCCTGTGATCTCACACACCTTCGGAGAGGACAT